TTTTTTGACTTAGTGCTACTATGCGTTTTGTTATCAGCGACTGCGTTGTGGCCTAAAAATTTTGCGCTGTGGCCGAGTTTTCCTCTGTTTTAGTTGGGCCGCAACTAGGTCAGAGTGCACCGTAACTCATTTTGCCTCTAGAAAATTTTCTACTTCTAGCTCAAATGAGGAGTTCTACCTATGATTTGCCTTCTATTTGTTCTTCTTTGATCACCATAATGTAATTCTTAAGAAACCTTGATCTTTAATTCCTTCTGAAATATTTTCAAGTGGCTTGAAACTTTAATTCTTAGACCAAAATAATTTTGCAAGAGTGACACACTTTATAAGCTCAAAAATAACAAGGATAAATGCCAAAATATGAACAAATATATTTAAGAGTGCATAAAACTTAAAGAAAAGGAGCTGAAATGACATGAAATTCTAGAGATTAATAATGACACTGTTCTAAAGCCATCACATTACAGAACAAAAATTTAGTGTTTTCTCCGACATAAATATGAGGAGTTTGTAGAACAGGTCTTGAGAATTCCAAGTTGAGCAATCACTTACTTTTGCTTACCTCCAACTTCGCTCCTACCTCTTGTAACTCATTTGCACTATACCTAAGCACATCAGATCCATCTTTGAAGGAATCTGTTTTCATGTTGGTTCTCGGCAAATAAAATAATCTGTGAAATGTTTTATCTTGTGATTAGGCCTTAACTTTTGCATGTTGTGGTGGTCAAAGTAGGGATATGTAAGCTGAAGAAATGAAGGGAGAGAACCTCTGCTTTTTTGAGGAAGGCTAAATCATATAGCTTTTCAAGGAAAAAGAATAGAAGTTGATTCTCAAGTAAAAGCAAATCATAACGTATATCAGTCCTCAATCGTCGTTGTGATAGTTTGGCATCACGTTTCATGTGGCATTTGTAGTGCATCATAAAGAGTTGAATGATGAAAGCAGAATCTACTAGTATCAGTTTCACAAGATCCTTCTTGCTAGAGTTGATGCTCTCAAAATAAGAAGGACAGACCATTGGCTTAAACTGTTTTACTAAGTCAATCAAATTGTCCAAGTTTGTCTTGGCAATTTTTGCAAATCTTTAAACATTATTTTTTTGTCCTGCTCCATATCTCGTAGCCTCGCAATGCCGTGATGGAAAGGACCAATGGAAACAACCTTAGGAGCGTCAGCTTCCTCTTTTAGAAGATGAATATCTGAGGCCACCCTGCAGATACAACACAAAGGCGACAAGAGACCATCTTTGCTTATCTTCGTCAATGCTTTTATGTCTATTCTGATTGCCCCATCTTCCATCTATTTATCAATTTAGATTGAAGGAAAGCAGAAATTACACATTGATTAGCAAAGTAATGATGGTGACCATAAATCTTGGAAAATATAAATGTTTCTTTTTTTAATAACCAAACTGTAATCTCATTCACCAGTTGTTAAGAATAAGAAAAGGATAAAAAAAGGCTCCATTGAATCTAACAAGCAGCCGCGAGCACGTTAAAGGGAATGTAACAAAATTAAGAAAAGAACGAATGAAAAGCACAGGATGTGTGTGTGTGTGTGTGTGTTTGAAACGCGAAACAAAATAAGGCTATAAAAAAGTCTAGTAATTGACGCGTTATCTAAATAGAAGCAACCTTAAAAAGAAAGTAAAGAAAACAAGAAAAAGCTTCATCTCAGAATTGAAGAAGAAAGAAGAGTAAAGGATGATGCGTACATGTGGTTGTTGCAAGTCACCGGAGGATGAATCTAATGGATGGAGCTCTACCATTTGTTGAGCAGTCTTATTAGAGGCCAACTCTGTTTGATTCATCTCAGTATTATGCATTGCTTCTGCCATGTAAACCTAACCAACAAACAACAGATAGAAAAACGCTAGCAGATGTGAAGGAGGAGGGGAAAGTTGATCTACTTTGCTTAGCAGCCCACGCCAGAATATACAGCACACACGGCGCTGTGTGGCTCAATTGACAGAACAATTTCAATGCTTATCACATTGATGAGCACCCTAAGCCTATTAGATTTGAATCATCTACATCTGATTTGGACAATTTAAATTTAAAATCTTTAATTAATTAATTTTAAATTGAAAAAACTTCTTTGTGAAAGAATGATAGTTAAGATATTATCTCTATTTTAGATTCTATACATGTTAAAATAATTATTTTGAATAAATAAAAATGAAAAAAAACCAAATCTAGATTATCTAAATGAGATATGAATGATTTACATCTAATGAGTTTAAGGTGCTCATCAAAATGATAAGCACTGAAATTAGTTCCCTCAGTTGACTGTTAACATTTTGATTTGTCAGCTGCATTTGTTAAAGATATCCGTGCAAATACCATGTTTGTTGGAAACTGTTACTTTTGCATAATTACTGCTTGAAGAAAAATTAAAAGAAAAACTTGTTATGAGGTCTCAAAAATACAAAAATGAATATAATTGATAACATTCGCAGTTGCCCTTCCTTATTTGAGAACTTGTCATTCGCATGTTACGGTATTTTTTAGTAATTGGATTCCTTTATTTTGAAAAGTAAAAGATCATTAAATAAGTAAACTTCCATTATAAGTTTATTTTTACGTTTGATATATTATTTTAGTCAACTTGTGTATTTAAATTTGTAAAAAATTATTAAATAAGTAAGCTTACATCCTTAAAAATTTTAAAATATGAATAAAAAAGTGAAAAAAATATAAGCATTAAGTTTTTTCAGATAATTTAAATGGTTTTTAAACAACTCCTATGTTTAAATATGGGTATTTCATTCCACGTGTAATTTAACCATCAGCTGATAATAGTTGGATGGTAATATATCTTAAAAGTAGAAGAAAAGTTTGTGTTTTGTGACACTATTGATTTTAGGTAGCTTCATGTAGGTTTTAGGGTGAAAGGGCAAATTTACATACTGTAATATCTAAAAGGAGAATCATGCACCATAATAAAATATCGGGAACAAAAATGCATATAAACTTTTAAGAATGAAGCAAAAATACTATTTCTGTTAACTCTTATGGATGTTTATTACTTTTTATCGTGGGTCCCATATAGTATCCACGTAATTTGTACTTTTAACCAGTAGAAACATGCCATTTCACATTATATTCATCCTATTTGTCTTATTCTCGAGAAATTCTTCTGTGAACCTGGAGTGCCACCTTATTTGTGGTCTGGCCAATTAAAAAATAACAGCTCAATAATTTTAATATTGGCTGGCATCCTACTTGGCTGATACCTCTAAGATTTTTTGAAAAACAAAAGGAAACCCAAACCCACGGTGAATGGGGCAGCGAGGAACTGAACGACGGCGAAGCGGGCGAGAAAGAGAAAGAGTTGTCGGCGGATAGGTTGGAGATCAGAGATCGTGGCAATTATACTAGTGAGATGTCGTTGATTTAAGGTTAGATCTGGAACTAGGGCTTCTAATGTTAATATTTGTTCATAATGTCGTCAATTTGTGGTCTTCAATCCGTGTGTTCGATTATGTTTACTAGCGATTTCTAGTGGTAGATAAGCATTTCAGATTATAAAAAAGGTATTATATTTTTTCCCCTATAATTTTATCGCGTAAATAATATTATACTTTGCCTGGGCATTGTCACTGTTGCTTTTACAAAGCTTTTGGTACTCTGTTTTTGTGCGGTTACTGATAGCCCAAAGCTTCATCTAGTTTTGTTGCTCTGTGATCGATGCTTTATTTGTTTGTAGTCACAGATAATAAATTAGAATAACTTTCATTTTTTTAACCCCAAATGAGAACTTTTGGTGTACTGTTGCTATAAGTTCACGAAGCAGTTATTATCCTAGAAGGCAATTCCTATGATGCAGAAATTATAAGGTAAGATTAAAGAGATTAAAATTCTCTCTCTGATCTGTCTTATATTTTTCTTAATTGAAATAGTTAAGTAGTAGCTCATTGCTATTTTTCTTGCATTTTCAACTCTGATGATTATTCGAAAAGGTGAAGCGTCAGGCAAGATGCCTTATCTTACTCTATTACTTTTGTATCTTCACAGCTCATAGCGCAATAAGCACAGGGGTTAAGTATGGCTCTACGATTTTCTGGTCTTATTTCAGTAGCTTGCATTTATGCGTGTGATAGTATGGTATTGAATCATCTCAATTTTTGTTAATAATACCCGGTTGCTGGTGTACTATAATTGCTCAATTAAACTGTAACGAATGCGATATTTTCCCCCGTTTCCCTTTAAACAAAAATCTTGTTTTATATGTAATATGCGGATTGTATTCAAGTTTTTGTTAACCACTTGGTTTGATCTACAATATTTTTGTTAATCATGTTTTTTGAATGCGTTAATTCACCTTTTCGTTGTTGTTGACTGATGTACATATAATAAAATGCAACAAATATTGATGGCTTCCTTCTATAGCTCCAAATAGAGAAAACATCAATATTCTTCCTCCTCCTCTTAACCCTTCGCACGTATAAGTTAAATTTTACCAATTTGAATAGTTGCTCATATCAATAATGTGAAATGAGCTTCTAATGTTCTAAGTGCCATAAGAGACATTTGGGATCATAGAATGGCTAGTAAGAATAAGTTGAATGGAATTGAACTATAATATAACACAATTATATTCAATAAGTATAATTAAAAAATAATTATAATCTTTATTAATATAATTAACTCCGCCTATGTTGCATAGCCGGTCCCAAACCTAGGTAAAGGAGGAGGGCTGTGTTAGGCCCTCGATAGCCAACATAAAACTCTGTTGAATCTTTTATGACATGGATCAACGAAGAAATTGTGTTATTACTAGGTCGTTGCCCGGAAGTGACGCGTTGTATGGCTCGAGTATAGTGAGAAATGTGCAAGAGCCGCTGCATTGTCGTCTAAATGTAGTGTTCAATGAGCAAGGGCTACCGCACTCTTATGGACAGAGGCGGGTAAAGAAGTTAGTTCATGAAAGCAAGATCAGGTTTGGTACTTAGAACATTAGGACACTATATGGTAAATCAAGGGAAGTGGTGGAAGTAATGGGTAAAAGGAAGATTAATATTTTGTGCCTACGAGAAACTAAATATGTTGGAGAGAAGGCCTTCGAATTTACTAATGGATTTAAACTTTGGTATACGGAAAAGGTAGGCACAGGGAATGGAGTTGGTATTATCATTGATAATGAATGGAAACAGAATATGGTGGAAGTCAAAAGGATAGAAGACATAATCATTTCTCTAAGAATAATTGTGGGGAGGGATACTATCAATATTATTAGTGCTTATGCGCATCAAGTAGGAGGGGAAGACCATCTTAAGGAGAGATTTTGGACAGATATGGAGGGTTTGATTCAGAGTATACCAACCATGGAAAAGATTTTTATTGGCGGTGACCTTAATGGACATGTTGGTAAAGACACAGGACAATATGCTAGGGCTCACAGTGGTATGGGTTTTGGAGTGCTTAATAATGAAGGGCAAACTATTATTGATTTCTCCCTCATGTACAACCTCAAGATTGTTAACACTTGTTTTAAGAAGTCGGATGAGCATTTAATCACTTATAAGAGTGGAACCCATAGGTTGCAAATTGATTTCTTTCAGGTAAGGAATCCTAATAGAAAACTCTGTACAAATTGCAAAGTGATTCCTGGAGATGGCGTGACAGCACAACATAGAGTACTAGTCCTTGATATGCATATTAAGTGTATAAAACAAAATTACTAACAAGTGTTAACCCCAAGGGTCAAATGGTGGCAGTTAAAGGGAGAGAAGTGAGAGATTTTCAAAAGGACACTTTTAAATGAAGGGGTTTGGGAGCTACAAGGAAATGCTAATCTTATGTGGATAGAAATGACTAAAAAGGTCCAGAAGGTTGCCAAAGCAATCTTAGGTGAATCAAAAGATTTAGGTTGGTGAGATAAAGAGACATAGTGGTGGAACGAGAACATGCAAGAGAAAATTAGACATAAATGAGAGTGTTTTAAAGCGTTGCATTTGTGTAATAATACTGAAAATTAGGAAAGGTATCATGTAGCTAAAAAAGAGACTAGGAGAGCAGTGGGAGAAGCTCGTGCTAAAGCGTTTGAGGAGTTCTATAAGGATCTAGGGACTAAGGTTGGGGAACGCAAGATCTACAAGATCACGAAGAATAAAGAAAGAAAAACAAGAGATTTAGACCAAGTAAGATGTATAAAGAATGAAGAAGGTAGAGTTTTGATCACTGATGGTGATACTAAGGATCGTTGCGAAGCTTATTTTTATAAGCTATTTAATGATGGGAGCGAAGGATCGACTCATGAGCTTGAAGATTTGATAATTGGAGAAGAGGAACATAATTTTTCTTTTTATCGAAGAATTCAAGTTGGTGAAGTTAAGGAAGCTCTCAAGAAAATAGAAAATAATAAAGCAGTTGGACTTGATGGTATTCTTATTCAAATTTGGAAATGTTTGGGTGAAGGTGGGGTGCTATGGCTTACTAAGTTATTCAATGAGATTTTGTGCTTTAAGAAAATGCTTGATGATTGGAGGAAAAGTATTTTAGTACATATTTACAAAAATAAAAAGGGATATTCAGAATTGTGTTAGTTACAGAGGGGTTAAACTCATGAGCCATACCATGAAATTATGGGAGAAGATGATGGAACATAGGTTGAGATTGGAGACTTGTATCTTTGAAAACCAATTTGGGTTTATGCCAGGAAAATCGACAACAGAAGTGATCTATTTACTAAGGGGTTTAATGGAAAAGTACTGAAGCCATAAAAGAGACTTGTATATGATTTTTATTGATTTGGAAAAAGCTTATGACCGTGTTCCTAGAAAAGTGCTCTGGAGAGCCTTGGAGAAGAATGGAGTGCATGTCACTTATATTAAAATCATACAAGACATGTATGAAGGGTTACAACTAGTATTAGAACACCAGGTGGTGAGACAAAAGACTTCCCTATAAGGATTGGCCTACATCAAGGATCATCTCTAAGCCCTTATCTGTTTAACCTAGTCCTTGATGTTTTAACTAAGTATATCAAAGAAGAAATCCCGAAATGCATGCTTTTTGCTGATGATATGGTTCTATTGGCTGAGTCAAAAGAAGATATTATAGCTAAATTTAAAACATGGAGAAGAACCTTAGAATCGAAGGGTTTTCGTTTGAGTATAAGCAAGACAGAATATATGCATTGCAGTTTTGATCAGAGACAAGTTAATATAGAGTTGGAGGTCAAATTGGGAGACCAGGTCATTCAACAAGTAGAATAATTTAAATATTTAGGATCGATTATACAAAAAGATGGGGAAATTGATGGAGATGTTAATCATAGAATTCAAGCTGGGTGGTTTAAATGGAGAAAAGCGACAGGAGTTATCTGTAATCGGAAAGTACCAAATAAGGTCAAAGGAAAGCTTTATAGCACTGCTATAAGACCAGTAATGCTATATTGTAGTAAATGTTGGGCTTTAAAGGGACAACATGAACATAAAGTGGCAGTTGCTGAGATGAGAATGTTGAGATAGACGTGTGGTCATACAAAAAAAGACAAGATCCATAATGAACATATAAGAGGAAAAGTTGGAGTGATTTCTATTGATGAGAAAATGGTAGAAAATTGATTGAGATGGTTTGATCACGTGCAAAGAAGGCCTTGGGACATGCCGGTAAGAAGAGTTGAGAAAACAGTATAGAGTCCTCTAAAAAGGAGTAGAGGAAGGCTGAAGACAACGCTTAATGAAGTCATTGAGAGAGATCTTTTAATTAACAATCTATCCAAAGATTTGGCTTTGGATAGAGCTCAATAGCGTCGTGTGATCTATGTAGCTAACCCCACCTAGTGGGATAAGGCTTTGTTGTTGTTGTTGTTGTTTATTAATATAATTAATACTTATTGAAAGGCTGAAGCTCAGATTTAGTGTTTTGCAGGGGACAGAAGTGTACTGGATGTGTTATAGAAAAGCTTATTCAGTTCCAAATCCAATCTTGGAGAAGATTATTCACTTGAAGTAGGAGAATGGTTCAAGACTTGTAAATATATTAGAACACATTGTATCAAATCTAAGTTGATACTAAAACACATTATTTCCTATATTGTATCTCCATTACAAAATTATTGATTTTGTATTTCCATTAGGCATAAGTAGGGCTATTTATTGTCATATTGCTTTTATTAGTTGTATTCATGTAATGATGCTTTGATGCTGTCAAGGTATGGTGTAAGTCCCAATGAGGCAAAGACAAATATAATCAAAATGAAAATGTGTTCATGAATATGAATTTATGACAGAACAAATACACAATGCTATCAAATACATAATATGACTTTATGACAGTGCAATACACAATGTTGTCAAATATATAATCTGAACCTTTACATAGATTACATAATCTAATAGTCAAGCCTAATACAACACCTAATATGGGAACAACAAAATATTTCACCTCCCTGTCACAAAATCATTGTTGATCCACCTACAACAGCAACTTCAAATCTGCTTATGCTTTAAAATCAACATAGGAGAGGTGTCTTTAATGTCAATATTTTGAAAAGCAAATTTGATTCATCTTCAAAATCCATCCTGCATTAGCCTTGTTTCAAATAAACAAATGAACATAAAAGGATAAAAGAATGTCATGTGTTTGACAACCAATCATGTTTCAACTTCAAACATGCACAGCAAATTTCAACACATTGGCATTAACATAAAGAGATGAATAAGGTCTCTAAATATCATCATGGAGGTATAATCCAATAGGACACTTTGATTAGCATGAGCCTTTCATGTTAAGATGAAATCAACTACCTAAGGGACAATATTATGCTCCAAATATAGAAAATAACATTCAAATATCAAGTTCTACAAGAGTTTATAGAAAGTTGCAGCAATTACAAATTACAGCAAGCAAAATCAAACCCAATAAGGCAATAACACATTTCTTTCACGAACTAAGAAAACTTGCAACCTGTATCACTTAACTAAGAATTGAAAATGAATACCAAATGCCCAAAAATTTATAAAAGTCAAGCAATGATGCTAAAGGAATCTAAATGAAACAATCACACTGCCTTTTAAGGGATCACAGAACCATGCTTGATGCGAATCACAGTAGTGCTACAGTTTTTGACAATACACATTAGCAATTACTTTAGCAGTTGAAAATGTTTGAAATTTCTAGTAGATAAATATTCTTTCCAGGAAAACCAATGAACATCTTGAAGGCTAAGTCACAGGGTTATTTTATTCTAATAAAGAAATAGTAGTTTCATATTGAGAAGGTTTTTTTCATTAAAAAAAAAAAAGATTGAGAAGGTTTTGATCATATAATAATGAAGATACATAAGGATGGTTTTCTCTTCAATCAATTAAGAAAAGAAGCTTGACAAGTATGAAGGATATATACAATGCTTGGACAGAGACCCTTTGATACAACTAGAAAGTTCTCGTACAACGAGTAGCAAGAGTTCTATGAATGTGAGTGCCTTTCAGAATGTGGAATAGGATTTAACAATGGGCATTTTTCAAAGAATAAGTGTCTTGCTTTATTTTCCTTTTCTCCTTTCAGTTTCACATGATCCAGATGGCAACAAGAGAACTATAGGTTGACTAATTTTGATGAATGCCTTAACAACAATGTTTTGTCTATCAAGTAATGCGTCCTACATGGCTTCTGATAGAATCTGAGCTCAAATTTTCAGTACATGTGCCAAAGTTCAAGAAAAATTTAAACTAGAAAAGATGTAAATTCATATTGTTGAAAGCCATACAAGGATCTAATGAATAGTTATTCCCAGAAATTTCAACTCCACGAATTCTAAGCAACAAGAAGACTTGAGTCCAGATTCCTTGTCCTCAGAGTTTAGATTACTTGTTATCATGATCTAGATTCTGGCCATCTTATGAAGCAAGCCTCGTCAAAGTTGGGATCTCAATTAATCATTATTGTAATCTCAAAATTCTAGGGGCATGCTAAATCTGTGCTCGCAGACTACTGGGGAGTCACCGAGAAGAGGAGTGCCGAGTAGAAAGGAGGGATTAGGGTTCATTGTTCTGTCTGCCAACTAATATTCAGAAGGTGCCAGATCAAATTAAAATGCTCCTGATTTGTTAGCTTAGTATTGGTCAGACCACAAGTGAGGTGGCAGTCTAGGTTTATGTAAGAATTTCTCCTTATTCTCTCCCTTCTCCATAATTACATTAGTTTAAATTGTTTTTAATTCTTTTTCCCCTAAAAAAAATCACCATCTCTCTTTTCTCCCTCTTTCTTTTTTCCTCCTGATGGTCTCTCGAAAAATCTCTCCTCCAGTTGCCTTTTGACAAAGATGATGAAGACATTGATCTGGAATGGACAAGCCTCCCAGATGCACATCTTCCTATTAACTTGTTAAGGTCAACTCAAACTTCACCCTAATATCATGATCTTGTTTCTCTCTGTCCCTCATAGACAAAAATGTAACCCTCATCTTCACTCTGTGTAATATCCTTATTTTTATAGCTAGTATTTAGTTAAATTTATAAATCAATATATTTTAGTACTAAGTTAATAAAAATTTAGGTATAGGCAAATTATTATTATTGTTATTGTTATTATTTTTGTGTGAGTGTGTGTGAATGTGTCTATGTGGATGATATTTTAGAAAATTATACCATGGTATAGAAGTCCCACATTGACTAATCATTAAAGTGAAGGAGCTTGAGGAGCCTATATATAGGAGGTAGTGGGTAGAACTTGAAGTGAGTAAATAATTTTCGCACATATCTAAAGTAGTCTCAGAAAAGTACTAGTTTTGAGTATACTAACTGTTAGATCGGACTAAAATTTGGTAAACCCATTTGGGACATCCAAATCATTAATTTCAATGGTTAGATTATCATTTTGATCTCCAAGTTACAAGTTATTAGATATAAACTCTATTGTGGTATTTTCAAGGTTGGACTTTGATTGTATTTGACTGTTAGCTAGGAGACCAGGTAACTAAATTTCTATCTGTCGCATGCTGTAGTATGAAGTTGGTGAGCAACTTTATAACTAATTCGATAAAAGTATATTATGTATAAACTGTATTGTGAGACGCTATTTTAAAAAAGATTGACGTAGTTTGTATTGCAAGAAATTGGTTATCATGATTATGATATGCTATTATGAAATTCAGTTGATTATGCATATAAATGTGTCATTTTGAACCTGTGCATTTATTTTGGGTGGGGAAAGGAGATAATTAGAGTTATTGAGATTCATATACTTGCCACGTGATATTAGCCTCCATACGAAGCTCTATGGTTGGTCGCTATTATTGTCCCACTAGTTCTTCAAGGGACTACGACACCCCACTAGTTCTTCGAGGGGGGACCCATGGTACATTGAGTGCTCTGTAGTCTTTAGTCGGTCCACATCACTTGTGTGGTGAGCTTGTCAGAGTTGCTAGTCAAATGGGAAGAACTCAGCCCATGGGTTCAATAGGCGAAAATAAGGAGGATATAAGGATGGATTTGGGTTCAGGAATTGCATATGACATAGGATATTCATTGATATTTATATCTTTTAAATAAATGAAAAATATGTTATTTCTTTTGAAATGTATCAACTGCATGAGATTAGTGGAAATATTTGTCTTATATGATTATTGTGAGTTTAAATGTTAAATAGATGTCTATCAACTATTATTAACTCTGTATATCCCACCTAACACCTCGCTAGCCCATGTTAAGGTGTGTGATAGGTAGGGATTTATTTACTGAGAACTCTCGTTGCTTTACCATTTTCAGGAAACAATATGTTAGCAAGATCTTTGGGAAAGACTTTAGAGGCTCAATAGCTGTAGTTGACAGTGTAGACGTTCTGGACCTTATTTTATACAATCTTTTCGTATATTGCCATGCATTAAGACTGCATTCAATTGGGACTTATTTTACCTTTTCATATTTTTATGTCATTTGACTTATGAACGTATTATACCATCTATCTTTGATTTATTTTGTCTGAATATGGGACTAGAGTGCTGGTAGTGGGCCTAAGACCCTTAGATTGCATGTGATTAAATTATTGTGGATCCACAATGTGATAATGGCAATTTTCACAAGTTTAATTATTGCTAGTATTGACTACATAGTCAAACTTGAACTGCTATTATAATTTATTGAGGCGTGTTGTCTTATAACCTTGTTAGCTATGATTACATATATAGGTTATTCTTTTTCTAACCATGATAGTCTTAATTGAGGTCAAATGCTTTTTTATCATGGTCAGCCCCTTAGTGATGTGATTACTCCTAAATAACCATGATAGGGTATGTTTAGTAGTTTTATTCCTTTTTATCATGGTTAGTTCTAGTTAGTAAGTGGCGATGTTACATTTTGGTATCAGAGCCTGGGGTTTTTCCTTTTTGTGATTTTGAATTACTTCCTGCATGCATATAGTGACAATATACATAGTTGCATAAACTTTCCTGAAATGTCTTTAGTTTTCTTGTGTTTTCTTTCATTTGGTTAGGTTCCATCCTTAGGTGGGGAGAATGGCAAGACCATGAAGGACTGAACCCATAGTAAAGGAGGCTTCTTCTTCTCCAGAACAACCTCTTGATCAACCTCATGATCAACCACCTGAGAAACCTCAATAGCATAATAACGAGGGTCTACTAACATAGGTATGACAAATAGTGGTTGAAGTCATGGAAGAAAGGCTTAAGAAGTTAGAGGAGGATATGATTGGAAAAAGAAATTCTAAGATCAGAGCAAAGGGAAACCCAGTTAAGAGTAAGAGTATAGGTGACTTGCAGTCTAGAGAGCGGGGTGCTCCAAGTACTGAGAGCAAGAAAGAAACTATCTAACGAACTCCTCTAGTGGATGTTTCAATGAAAATAGTATGGAAAGATGTGAGCCGTCATAATCCCCCAAGATTTAAGGGTGACATGAATCCAGTTTAGGCTGAAGGTTGGATTAATAAACTGGAGACCATTTTCAAAGCTGCCCCTTGCACTACTCAGCATAAGGTGCAAGTAGAGGGATGAGCTAAGCGTTGGTGGGAAAGTGTGAGCCCATTCGATGACTCACAAGTTACTTGGGATGAATTCAAGAGGATGTTCTTCAATCACTATTTCCCGCTACCCCATGTCAAGATAAGGAATCAGAGTTCTTTGCCTTGCAACAAAACAATATGCATGAAGATGACTTCATCGCTAAGTTTATAGACTTGTCCAAGTATGTGGCATTATTGCAGAGGGATGAGGACTCAGGTTGGATGGCTAGGCAATTACAAGAAAGAGCTAGACCAGACTTGAAGCAACAACTGGCCCTGGTTCTAGTGACTAATTTTGGAGATATGTGTACCAACCTTCGAGTTGCAGCTAGGCGGACTCGTGAGGCTGAGAAAGCTCGTAGAAGGGATTCTCAAGGGCAGTTTTCCTCGTACCCTAGACCAACTAAAGGGGTTAGTAAGAGAAATAATATGGGCATAGGAAGTGTAGGTCCATATAGAAGGAATCATGGTTTAAGCCATAAAAAGTCTATACAGAAGGGTTCGACCTAGAAGAGCATAATCTCAAGATCTCAGTCTAATAGGAATCTAATCACTCATCATGAATCAATAATGTCAACCCCTACTATCCATAGACCTTGCTTATAGTGTCAAAGGAACCATCCTGGAAAATGTTAGAAATGCTACAAGTGTCACAAGATGGGACACATTGCTCGTTATTGTCCTAAAAATCAGCATAACACTCAGAACTCCAAGGACACTTGATCAAATAATGCCAGGCCGTGTCTTTACTATTACTCAAGAAGAAGTAAGTCCTCCCCCTAATGCCATTAAAGGTATGATATCCCTCCAAGGACATAACGTCGAAGCACTATTTGATTCTGGTGCTACCCATTCCTTTGTTTCTCATCAATATGTCTTGCATTCTAATTTACATATCTCTGAGATGCCTTTTATTTTGAGTATGTCTACTCGTGCAGGTTTGTTTGTTAGAACTACTAAAGTTTGTTTAAACCTTGCGTAAGATTTTAAAGGCCGTAGAACAACAATAGATCTAATTTGTTTACCATTATAAGGGATGGATGTAATTATTAGGATGGATTGGTTATCACGTAATAATGCTATGCTAGATTGTAGAAAAAGAGTAGTTGTCTTCCTTGAAGATGTGGTGCCTATAGGACCATCTAGTGGGTCAATATTCTTATCTGCCATGCAAGTAGATGAATGCATATGAAAAGGATGTCAAGCCTATGTAGTATTCTTCTCAATACAAGTAAATAACGAGGAAGGAATCGATCACATTGATGTGGTTAGGGAATTTCCTGAAGTCTTCCCTAAGGAAATGACCGGGTTACCTCCTGAATGAGAAGTCGAGTTTACAATTGATTTGATACCAGGCATGACACCTATATCCAAGACTCCTTACTAAATGTCTCCATCTGAGTTGAATGAATTAAAAAGACAAATAGAGGAACTTCTCAAAAAAGGGTTTATTAGACCCAGTGTATTCCCATGGGGATCCCTAGTGTTGTTCGTTAAGAAGAAAGATGGGAGCATGTGTTTGTGCATTGACTATCGACAGCTGAACAAGGTAATAATCAAGAACAAGTACCCTTTACCTAGAATAGATGATCTATTAGATCAGCTGGTGGGATCTTCAGTCTTTTCTAAGATTGATTTGTGGTCAGGATACTATCAATTGAGAGTTAAAATAAAAGATATCTCTAAGACTATTTTTCATATAAGATGTGGACACTATGAGTTTCTGGTGATGCCATTTGGGTCGATTTAATGCCCCGACAGCGTTTATGGACTACATGGATCGAATTCTTAGAACTTATCTGGACCATTTCATAGTTGTATTTGTTAATGAAATCTTAATCTATTTAAAAAGTAAAGTAGAACATCGAGAACACCTAAGAGTTACACTACAAGTATTGAAAGATCACAAGCTCTATGCAAAGTTGAGCAAGTGTGAGTTTTGGTTTAAGGAAGTAAACTTTCTAGGCCATGTGGTTTCAGTAGAGGGGGTAGCAGTAGACCCGAGTAAAG